GATTGGTCTTTTTCTTTTAATCCAATCTAAAATCCTATGTCTTTTAATTGGAGCATTAGTCCATTTACATTCAGAGTAATTATTGAAAGATATGAATTTAATGCCATTGTATTACCTGTAATGTTGCTGTTCCTGTAGATTGTCTATGTTCCTTTCTGGTCTTTATTACTTTTGGCCTCTGCTCAAAGAATCCTCTTTAATATTTATTGCAGGACTGGTTTAGTGATTATAAATTCCTTTAGTTTTTGTTGTCCTGGAAATTCTTTTTATTTTATTTTATTTTAATTTAATTCATGAGAGACAGAGAGAGAGAGGCAGAGACACAGACAGAGGGAGAAGCAGGCTCCATGCAGGGAGCCTGATGTGGGACTCAAAGGGCTGAAGACAGCACTAAACCACTGAGCCACCCGGGCTGCCCAATGTCCTGGAAATTCTTGATCTCTCCTTCTATTCTGAATGACAGTCTTGCTGGGTAAAGTATTTTTGGCTGCATATTTTTCCCATTTAGCACTTTGAATCTATTATGCCAGTCCTTTCTGGCCTACCAGGTCCCTATGGACAGGTGTGCTGCCAGCCTTATGTGTCTACCCTGGTAGGTTAAGGACCTATTGTCCTGAGGTGCTTTCAAGATTTTCTCTTTATCTTTGAAATTTGCAAGCTTCAATATTGTATGTCAAAATGCTGACCTATTTTTATTGATTTTGAGGGAGAGGTCTCCATGCCTCCTCGATTTGAATGCCTATTTCTTTCCCTATATTAGGGAAATTCTCAGCTATAATTTGTTTAAATAAGTTTTCTGTCCCTTTCTCCACTCCTGATCTTCTAGGACTTCTATAATATGGATATTACTTCTCCTTATGGATCATTGGGTTCTCTCAGTCTCCCTTCATGATCTAATAGCTTTCTTTTCTTCTTCTTTTCAGCTTCCTTATTTTCCATCATTTTATCTTCTAGATCACTGATTCACTCTTCTGCTTTGTTCATCCTCATTTTCATGGCCTCCACTTGGAATTGCATCTTGGCAATAGTGTTTTTAATTTCAGCCTGACTATATTTTAGTTCTTTTATTTCTACAGTAAATGATTCTCTAGTGTCTTCTCTGCTTTTTTGAGCCCAGCTAGTAACTTCATAATCATTGTTTTAAATTCTAGTTTAGACATCTTACTTATATCCATATTGATTAAATCCCTGGCAGTGAGTACTCTCTCCCATTTTTCTTTTGCAGTGAATTTCTCCATCTCATCATTTTGTCCAGAAAAGAAAAGAAGAAAGAGAAAACGAAAACAAAAAGATCAATAACAACAGGAAAAAATAAAAACTAGATCCTGGATACATTTTTGTCTGCATGTCAAAAAAAACCCTAAATCTCAAATTAAGAAAGAAAACCATATATACATTCATATATATTTATATATGAAATACAATGAAAGGAAACAAATAAGAACATATAATGTATTTATAAAAATAAAAGTTTAAAAATTAAAAAAATTAAAAAACAGGAAAATAAGTGAATAAATACTAAAAGACTAAGGAAGAGGATCCCTGGGTGGCTCAGAGGTTTAGCGCCTGCCTCTGGCCCAGGGCGTGATCTTGGAGTCCTGGGATCAAGTCCCACATCAGGCTCCCTGCATGGAGACTGCTTCTCCCTCTGCCTGTGTCTCTGCCTCTCTCTCTGTGTCTTTCATGCATAAATAAATAAAATCTTTAAAAAAATAAAAGACTAAGGAATAATACAAAGAATGCTGTATACAATTTTCCCCAGGAGCTGAAGATTTGCATTCCTCGATCAGTAAACTTGAAGTGAGCCAGTTGATTGTCCTGGTCTTCTGGGGGAGCAGCCTGTTGTACTGATTCTCAAGTGGACTTGGCCTATTGCAAATGCACCTCCCTCGCACAGAGGAGGGCTCAGGGTAAGCGGCTCTGGACGTGATGCCCTTTTGTTCCCAAAAGGCTTTCAGCAATGATGAGTGGGATGACTATGGTGGTGCCCCACTCTGTAGCCCTGGAGCTGAAAGTTCATGCCCTCCATGCTTCAGTGAGGCCTCACAGAAAAGCAATCAATCACTCTTGTCTCTGAGTTTCAATCAGAACTCTATGTTCTCCTGCCCCATAACCAAATGTTTTTATCTCAGACACATTACTGAGTTTCAAAGCTCCAAATTTTATGGACTCCTGTGGCATGGACCCATACTGTTCTTTCCAGGGGAGAGAAGGGGGTATCACCACACTTCTGCCTTTTGCTGGAAACTGCCTAGGAAAACAGTCACACAACTGTGTAGCAGTTCACAGTTTATAGCTCTGCAGAGCAGAAAGCTGGCACCTCTGCTTGCTGTTTTTACCCAGCTTCCACATTTTTGCCTGGGAACAGTGCAACACTTAGGTGCCACCCATTCTTCTTGTGACACCAGGGAACTTGAGATTATGCTAGCACACCTGGGATTCCACTCTGCTTCATCACCTGAGCACCTTTGAGGCCAGGATGTCCCCCACTGTAGCAGACTTCTAAAGTTCTGGGGATGCCTGGGTGGCCCAGCAGTTGAGTGTCTGCCTTTGGCTCAGGGCATGATCCCAGGGTCTGGGGATACAGTCCCACATCGGGCTCCCTGCGAGGAGCCTGATTCTCCCTCTGCCTGTGTTTCTGCCTCTCTCCCTGTGTCTCTCATGAATAAATAAATAAAAATCTTAAAAGTTCCGATTATGCACTCCACAACTTATAATACTTTGCGGTAGCCTTCTTAAGCAGGCTTTCTCCTCTACACAGTATCCTCAGCTATATCAACCTAGATTCAAGCCTCCACATCTCGTACCTTCCAAAAGATAGTCATTTTTCTACATGTAGACTTGCAGCATTTCTTTTCTCAGATCTCCAATTGATTTCTCAGGTGTTCAGAGTGATTGGATAACTATCTGGAAGTATTTGAGGGATGAGACAAACATAGGGTCCCCCTACTCCTCCACCATCTTAACACTTCTCCCATTTTTTAAAGATTGATTGATTGATTGATTGATTGATTTTAGAGAGAAAGAGAGCACACGTGAGAGGGGTTGGGAGAGGGAGAGATCATTTTAAGCCAACTAAATGCTGAGAGCAGAGCCTGACATGGGTATTGACCTCATGAACCTGAGATCACAAGAGTTGTATGCTTAACCAGTTGTGCCACCCAGGAACCCCTCCCATTTTTAATTTTTTAAGCCTCACTTTCTGGATCAGTTCAATAGGGATAATAATGCCTATACTGAATAGTTCTTGTGAAGATTAGAGATGTTTTACATAAAGCGTCTGGCACATAGTAGGTGTCCAACACAAAGTATTAGTTATTATGTTAGAGTATTATAGCTCATCTTCATCCTTGCCTTCTTCCAATCTACCTTCCACATGGTTTCCAAAGCAATCAATCTGTCTAAAATGCAAATCTATGCCATTCTCCTGTAATAAACTCTTTAATGGATCCCTATCACTTTTATGCCAATGTAGCATTCCTCTCCACCTGAGGTCACTTCTCTGCACTTTATTCTATGGTCTGGTCATACTTAACTTCCTTTCATTTCTTTAGTGTATTATTTCCACCCCACACACACACACACTTCATCCCCCTCAACTTTATATTTGCTGTACTTTCCCTCTCTGAAACATTTCTTTCCTATATTTTAGTCTAATTTATTTCTACACATCGTTTATATCTCTATTTAAAAGCAATTTCCTCTGGAGCTCTATCAGTTAAGCATCAGACTCTTGATTTTGGCTCAGATCATGACCTCAGGATTGTGAGATCAAGCCCTGCATCAGGCTCTGTGCTCAGCAGACAGTCTCCTTGAGATTCTCTCTCCCTCTCCACCTCCTCCCTCACACACTCTCTCTTTCTCTTAAAAAAAAAAAGATTTCTTCTGAAATTCTTTGTGGATATTCCCCCACAGACTCCCTTCATTATCCCTGCTAGCTGCTTCCATAGCACTCTGTAACTCCCTGATTTTTAAAAAAGATTCTATTTGTTTATTCATGAGAGACACAAAGAGAAAGAGAGACAGAGACATAGGCAGAAGGAGAAGCAGGCTCCATGAGGAAAGCCTGATGTGGGACTCGATTTTGGGACTCTGGGATCATGTCCTGAGCCAAAGGCAGATGCTCAACCACTGAGCCACCCAGGCGTCCCTAGCTCCCTGATCTTATTCTATGTTATCATTATGGTTTAATTGTTTTTCCCACTAGAATGTAAGTTATGTGAGGGCAAAGACCACATCTATTTTTGCTCACCACTTTATTCCTAGTACCCAGAATATTGTTTAGATCTCATTAAGCCCTCTAGAAGTGGTTTTTGGAAGAATAAATAAATGAAAGCTCTAACAAGAGATATGAATTTTCTGATGCATGACGTCAATTCATGAACACCTATGTTTGTGCATGCTATTTCCTCTGCCTGGAATACCCTCCTATACCTTACCTCATCCTTCAGCTGCTTAATAATTACCTATACCTCCTTCAAGATTCAAGATACAGGATTAATTGGCTCCTTTATACAACTTTCCTTGCCTCTGTATAATTATGGATGATCCTTACCCTGTGACTCCATCACATTTTGCACCTCCTTCAGTTTAAGGGCTTATTGTGCAGCTATATGTATACAATGTCTGCTTTAACTACTAGACTGTAAGGTCATTAAAAGCATAAGCTGTATCTTCTTTATCTCTGTAGCTCAGCACACATCCCAAAGCTTTAAACATAATAAGCACTCATAAATGTGTTGAATGAATAAATAAAATCTAATTAAATCTAATTTGGATATTAGATTTAAAATCTAATAAAATGGGATAAAATCTAAATCAAATGAGTACTTATCCCTCCTACTCAAATAATCAGTGTAACTTGCTTTTACTGCGTTATATATTATGGGCATTTATGTACAATATATATAAAGAGCAATACAATGACTATATTTACCTATATCTTCATCAATAAATGTCATTAATAGAAATGAGCTTTTCCTATATATCCATGTATGGAAAAAAATGTAAAACACTTACTGAGCTTTTATATCATCCTAATCTGGGCTCTGTTCATCTCCTCTGTACTGTTTTAATTTTAGTATGTGTGTTGCTGAAGCAAGCACCAGGTAATGAGCTTTGGCCTGCATTTTTATGTTTGTTCCGAGGTTCCAAGAGGAGGTTTCATTCTAAACTGTCCTAGTTACATAGCTATGCAATCCTTGGTCAGATTTTTCTAAGAAGCTGACCTTCGGTAGCTTTCCATGAAATCTAGGTAAGATTTCCAGGGTCAAAATAATAATAATAATGTTATAGAATAACACTTTCCAAAAAAATTCAAAGTGTTCTTTTAGGCCTTATCTAATTCATACTTTTCATCTGTCTGTAAGACAGGCAGTAGCTACATTATTATCAGAATAAGAAAGTAGATAATTTGTGTCTTGAAAAAGTCACTAAATGAATAAATTGTGGGGCCATGAATAGAGCCAAGCTTTAATATTTTCAGTTTTGAACCTAGGTCTTCCTCCAGACCCACCTTCCTGGATCCATAGTGAATCATCTACTATGTAAGGGAACCAATGACTTTATCATGCTTCTGAATTTCTGTGTTTCTTTTATTCTGTACTTCAAAATAAACACATCCCACATAGAATCCTATTTTATCAAACTCCACTTTTTTATCCAATTCAGAATAGAATGAAGGACTCGATGGTCATCTTCTTCCCATTCATCTAACTTTATTATCAGGTGACTAATCCTTTGATCTGCTTCATCTTCTGTACTCCTCAATCTTCATATTTCATCATTTTTCTATCTTCTTCATATTTCAACATTCCCACTCTCCATTCTTTCTTCTTTTCTACTCCTCCTCCAAAACTCAAACCTATCATTGATCCTTTTTCTTTTATTATTCACTCGTTCCACCGTCCTGTTCTCATTCACTCTCTATTCTTTTTCTTCAATCTTCCTGCTCATCACTTTCTCTTCATTTTCTGTTTTTTTAAATTTTATTTAAGGGAAGGAGGGAGAGAATAAGAATAAGAACAAGAGGAAGGGCAGAGGGAGAAGGAGAAGCAGACTCCCTGCTGAGCAGGGAGCCTGACACAGGGCTCAATTTCATGACCTGAGCCAAAGGCAGACATTTAACCAATTGAGACACCCAGGCACCCCTTTGTCTTCATTTTCTTATTTCTTTTTGCCCATTCATATCTAATAATCATCCTTATCCATCTGTCCAACTACCTCATTCCACAATCCCCTCCTCTGTTTATGTATACTCTGCTTCATTCTTTCAATAACTTTGCACACTCCCATCTCTTCTTCAAACTCTTTTGTGCACTTTGTTACAAGTATGTCTCTCTTATATCTCTCCACTTATGCCCCCAATTCTCCTTCATACATTATCTATTCATACTTCTACTCTGTCCCACCCTCCCTATCTCCTTTTCCATTTTTATCTAACCTCATATCCTTTCATGCAGTGTGGAGAAGAGACGTCCCTCTTCCTTTAAAACTTTCAAGATACTTTTGATACCATTCCACTTACAGTTTTCTCTGGCAACCTGATGTCAGTAGAACTCCATTTCTACTATATCTTCAATCTTTCTCTTTCTGCTATCTCATGAAAAAGTGCCAGTATCTGCATTCAAAAAAAGCAACTATTTTTTTACTTCTGAATGTATCTATTATATATTCATCATTTCATTTTTAAACAAGACTCAGAAAGTATTGTTTAGTATTTTCACTACTATGTCAACTCCTAAAAACTCACCACTGCACTAAATACTACATTGAAACTGTGCATGTGAAAAATACCAATGTTTTCCATGTTGCCAAAACTAATATATTTAATTCTCTATATTACTTGATCTCTTTGTAATAATCAACAATGCTGTAAAAATGTACAAATAATGGCGAATATCACGAACTTGCAGCCAAACTTGTAGAGTATGAATGCTGGCTCAACCATTTACTCCTAAGGGATCTTAAAATTTTTTCTTATCTACCTGTGTCTCAGTTTCCTCATCTGAAAAGTGAGAATAATAGTACCTATCTTACCTATCATTCTATTTACAGAGTTGTTAGCTTACAAAAGTGAAGGGATAAGAACAGTGCATGGCACATTATAAATACTATATTGACGTTAACTATTATATTTATGCTATTACTGGTGTTATTATTATTATTATTATTTTAAAGATGCTTTCTCTCTTTTTTTTTAATTTATTTTTTATTTATTTATGATAGTCACAGAGAGAGAGAGAGAGGCAGAGACACAGGCAGAGGGGGAAGCAGGCTCCATGCCCTGGGAGCCCAATGTGGGATTCGATCCTGGGTCTCCAGGATCGCTCCCTGGGCCAAAGGCAGGCGCCAAACCGCTGCGCCACCCAGGGAATCCCTGTTGTTATTATTATTGATCAATGTCAGCTTTTTTTTGAAACCTTTTACTCTTTGATATAATTTCAGTCAAAATGGGTCAGGTTAGTATGCACTAACAAAAAAAAATCCCAAAATCTCAGTGTCCTCAAACAACAAAGATTTATTTCTCACTAATACTATTTGTCTATCTCAGGTTGTAGAGAGGGGCACTATCTTCTGTGTCATCTTCAATAGGGGCACAGAATGATAAAGCCAAGGACATCTGGCATAATGTTACTCACTGTGGTCAGGAACATGAAAAAATATGTACTACTCTTAAAAGCTTCCCAACATCCCTCAGAACTGATACATGTTATTTCTAGTTACATTTGGTTAGCCAAAGTCATTACACATGCCTAACTTCAAGGCTTTATGGAAGTACAATACTACCATGTACACAGAAGAACATAAATTAGAATACTGAAAAGTAGCAGTACTGACTATCAAACTTAGCTTCCAAGATACTGCACACTAGAGGTTCTATCAACACCTTTCTTAATTTTTCTTCTTGGTCTCCTTCACAGGTTCCTCTTTCTCACCTTCTGCCTTAATGATATGATACTACACGATTGGATCCTTGGCATGATTTTCTTCTCACTCTGTATACTTTCCTGAAATGATCACATCCAATCCCATGGTCATCCCAATATACTAACAATACCAAACTTTACATCTGTAGCTCATATCATCTCCTGATCTTAAGATTTGTATATCCAAATGCTATTAGACTTCTATCCCTGGATAACTACAATCTTGTAAGGCTTATCTTGCCCAAAATTAACCTTGCAGATTTATCCTATCTAAATTTCTCCTAACTTTTATATGATCTGCCCCAGTTTGTAGCACCATCTTTCATCCATGTTATTTGGATACTTGACTACCTTGACTCCTATACCTCCTGTCATTCTAACAATGGCTCTTTTTACCATTTCTTCAGCGTCTCTCTCCTTCTCCATCTTAATCCACTGCTCTGAATTAGAACTTTACCACTCTGCCTAGACTATTTAAGCTTTCTGCTAACCAGTTTCCATAATTCCAGTTTTGCTCCTTTCATTTTTTTTCATTTGTTGTTTTTGAAGTTTGATTTGCCAACATATAGTATGACACCCAGTGCTCATCCCATCAAGTACTCTGTTCCTTTCAAATACATGCTTTATACAGTAACTGGAAAGCCATATATAAAATAAAAAACTGACCACCTCATTCTCTTGCTTCTATTGAAGGAAACAATTCCAATTTCTTACAACTGCTCACTTGTTTTTCTCTGCCTAGAATGTACTTCCTGTCTTTTCTCCACTTTACACCTATAATTATTTTGAATACATTCTACTTACTGAATAGTACCAAAATGAATGCTAATACTAATAATCAAGTGTCTATACACACACACATATGTAAGTATGTATGATCTGGAAAGAGATCAATAAAATATATGTGTTAATTTTATTGACCCTTTCTGCAGATTACTCTTCCCTTCTTTTCACCCATTTCTATTCACTTTCTTTTCTCCATCATTATCTCCTCTATTCTCCTTTCTCCTCTAGTTTCTCAGCTCCTCCTGTCTAATTCAATTTTTCTCCAAGTATCCATTTGCTATCCATTCTTCTTTGCCTATCCTCTTATCTACCAAATTCTTTCAGAAAAAAACACTAATAAACAGCAAATTTAATATAATGAAAGACTAGCATATGGACAAGGACACTCCATGTATTCACCACATATTTCAGTTTCATTGTACAAAATAACAAATACTCAAATTTAAAACAGCCACAGAATATGCACTGAAAAATCACATTTCTCCATTCAATAATATGAATTCAGTTACTTAAAACTGATACTCATTCATGTATGAGGGAGCTTCAGGCTAACTGTCAGTACAGGAGCTAGCAAAAACATAAAACAAGAACCAAGGACTTTTTTTGGTGTTGGAGCAAAGAATATTATGGAACTGGAAATGTTTTTAAAGTCATTATTTAAAAAATAATAATAAAGTCATTATTTTTGAAAGCAAAATTATATGTAATACATATAATTGTGTATGTGTGTATATATGTGTATATATGTATATGAATGATTTTATTTATTTTAAAGATTATTTATTTTAGAGAGAGAATACAAGAGGAGGGAAAATCTCAAGCAGACTCCCTACTGAGTACAGAACTTGATGCATGATTCCATCTCATGACCCTGAGATACTGACCTGAGCCAAAACCAAGAATTGGATGCTTAACTGACTGAGCCACCCAGGTGCCCTTGTATATAAATGATATTTATAGGAAACATTCTGGGGCGCCTGGGTGGGCGGCTCAGTTGGCTAAGTGGCTGCCTTCAACTCAGGTCATGATCTCAGGGTCCTGGGATTGAGGCCCGTGTTGGGCTCCCTGCTCAGCAGGGAGTCTGCTTCTCCCTCTGCCCCCTGCCCTGCTTGTCCACTCTCTTTCTCTACCTTCCTCTCTCTCAAATAAGTAAATAAAATCTTAAAAATAGATGAATGAATGAATGAATGAATGAATGAATGAATGAAACATTGTTAGGTTGCTTGGAAACCTCATTTACATCAAACTCCTCAGCATTCCCAGGCAATGTGGCATAAAAGATGTGTTGCTGTAATTTTGGATATATATATATAACATTGTATGCTTCAGAAAATATCCATCATTATCTCATTTGATTCTCACAATTCTACATCACAGGGGAAGTTTGTTGC